TTAAACATAGAACCATTTTTTGATAAGACTCCAGGAACAAAATATTTATATAAAATATTATCAAAGAATGATGAAATTCCAACAGGCAGGAAAAAATGGGCAGATCAATTTGACTTTGATAATTCTAATTGGGCAAATATTTTTTCCCTACCTTTCAAAATAACAAACGATTCAAAACTTCAGTGGTTTCAGTTTAGAATTTTACATAATATTTTAACAACAAATTCACTACTATTTAAGGCAAACATAGTTGTAAGTCCACTTTGTACTTTTTGTAAATCAGAGTCAGAAACCATAACTCATATATTTTGGGAATGTCAAAAAGTTCAAAATTTACTGCAGAGCTTGGAAATACTCTTAGACGCACTTTTGATTCCTTTTACTATTAATAAAGAATCATTTATTTTTGGGTTCTGGTCAATTAGAAATGAGTTCAGTAAAATTGATAATGAAATTAACATCATCATTAAACATTACATTTACAAAACCAGATGTCTTGAAACCACACTTAACATAAATTCTCTTATCAATTTATTGAAAGACCACCACAATGTCAAAAAATACATAGCAACCGCTAAAGGTGATGCTTCTCTTGAAAGTTTTTACAGAGAGTGGGGAAAATGGAAAAAAGTTTTACTTCTTTAAACTTAAATTGAAATGATTTCTATATCTAGACCCATTCATATCTATTAATGGACTCTTGAACTCTGACAGTTGGTTAATATAAAACTTTTATACTTGTTTTGAATAGATATTACTATCTTTGAGCAAATGTTGCCAATAAAACAATTGTCGATGATTTAATTTCAACTTCTTTATTTTTGGAAGGCCTGTCTCTCTCAAATCTGTCGTCCTTGTCTCTGTGTCGATTGTCTTTGTGCGTATATGTCTTGTGCGTCTGTCTTTGTATGTCTGTCTATCTGGCAGTTCTTGCCCATGTCTTGTTTGTCTTTGCCTCTGTGCACATGTCTACTTTTGTTTTGTCTGTCTTTGTTTTTCCAGTAATTATCTGTCTGTCTCTATTTCTTTCTTTCAATAAAACCACAACACATGACTAATAGGATTAGTGTTTATTCCAATGTTTTGAAATGACATCTTGGATAGATTGATAACATATGCGCTAATAAATATATACTATCATACTAAGGTACCAGGTAGTTGCTTGTGTATAATATATTGAATGATAGTGTGAGAACTATTCATATACATTTTTTTTAAATGTACATCATGTATAGAGATGAATATCTTGTACAGAACTGGTGTATATGAAATGTTAAATTATGAATGTTTCTATACAGATGTATGGTGTATATGAAATGTTTAATAAGAATGTTTCTATACAAATGTATGGAGTGTATGAAATGTTTGATATGAATGTTACATACAGTTGTATGGTGTGAATGAAATGTTTAATAGAAGTGTTTCTATATGGATGTATAATGTGTATGACTTTTTTTTTTTTTTATATATATATAACTGTTCTTTACAGGTGTATGAAATATTTGATATGCATGTTCTATACAGATCTATGGTGTGTATGAGTATATATGAAATGTTTGAAATAAATATGTCAGAAATTAGCATGCTCTGTTATGATCATGATAGTACACACGATCAGTAACTCAGATTAATATTTTCTTAAGACCCAATACTTAGAAAACTGGGTATATGGAATGAGTATGGTTAACATGAAATGTGTATGGTTAACATGAAATGAGTATGGTTAACATGAAATGTGTATGGAATGTTTAGGATGAGAGTACTGTGAAGTATGTTAGTCTCCCAAATATTGTCATGTGTATGTGCTTTGAAAAACTGAATAAAAATATAAATTAAAAATAAATAAATATATATATATATATTTAAGTACAGAAAACATGACTAGTAGATTGACTTATTTGTGTTTTGAAACTGCAAGTCGCATTGTATAAATGTAGACGTGCAAGTTAGCCTGCACCCCATTGTCCCACACGCCAGAACTTTTAGCACGATTACTAGCCGAAGAAACGGGAAAGAAGTGACTGAACAGATCGTCTAGCTCTGCAGCTATCACACTATCACATAAATTCATATACTTTAAATTGGGTGGAAGATAGGCTGCTACATGTCACAAGTTTAAACGCAGCCAATGTGTCTGTCATCTTCCGTAGCGAATGTAAACAATCTACCGGAAGTGTGCGCACCAGAAAACGGAAATCCCTGTCGCTTGGATATTTAAGTCAATTTGATTAATTATTGATATCTAAAGTGTATGATATTGTTTGAATAATTAAGAGATAGCTTTCTAGTTTCAGTAGTTACATTATATGTATATGTTTTAGGATTAACACAAGTTATATTGTACGTTTTTGTAAAGCAAGTGAGATTTCCGTTTTCGCGCGAAACAGAAATAGAATAGAAATATGACGTCTGTCGGAATTCCCGTTTTTCTCCCTTTTCATTAGCTAGAAGTTAAGGACCCAAATCCCAGCCTGCGGCTCATTTTATCAAGCTTAATTTATTGATGAGCTTATTAGGGCTGGTAACAAAAACCTAGCCAAGTCTTTCAATTTCACATTCAAATCTATCAACACTTTGCTGTCTGCAAATAACAAAAATCCATCGACCACATATCGGTCGTGTATATTCCCCTGAGGTTGAAATCAATTGACTCTACAGACTTTTCTTCTTCAGCTGCTGCGTTCCTCGATCTTTACATACAGTATGACCAACGGGGACCGGATTACTAAGCAATATGGTAAGCGTGACGATTTCGACTTTCTGGTCGTTAACTTTCCCTTTCTTGATAGTAATTATCTTATATATCTACTTCCCTTACATAAAGTGTTAAATGTCGCAGTTAATTCGGTATTCAAGAGCTTGCTCAATATCATAACTTCCATGAGAGATGTCGACTGCTGACGAGCAAACTTACAACACAGGGTTTCCAAAGTTGGAGGACAATGAGCAAGTTTTAAAGTCTCTATAATGATCTCATTAGGAAATAGACTATTTCGTTATTTGATATGAAGGTCGATGTTTCTTTATTGCGCTCATTAGTGTGCCTTGTTGTCTTGCAGTTTTTTTTGTTTGTTTTTTTTTGTCACTTCCAGAGTGATCGGTGTGATCGGACATGTACATTATACTTGGTTTAAGTTGATTGTAACCTGAAAGTGACACTTTTGTATTCTGGCTAATATTCCTTCGTTCTATTTGTCCTAGTTCNCTGGTTTATTTTCAGTTTCACTGAGCCCACAGTGACACAGATATTTGATTCTCTTACCCTGGACAGGTGTATCTGCTATTTTACCGGTGTGATATTTCCTTGTCTCACCCTAGGGTTGAGAGGGGGGGATTCCCCTATTCATAACAATGGTATGATGTCACTTCAACAATACAATGACGTCACATCAACACTCCATCAACGTCACATCAACCCTGAATTTAGCATGTAACATTATCATTACATTGTGTATATGATACACAACTGGAGAAAAGGGTAAGAGAAAAAGAATCATTCACCTCCTTGTGGGTGAGAAAGGGGAATCTCAACCCTCATGAAAAGATTCTTACNAGGATAAGAATTTCAAAATATTGGTAAATGTTCCCTTTGGGGCCCAACCCTAGCCCCCTGAGTATGGGNTCGTGTTTGGCAACTTAAGAATCTTCCCCCTCGGGTTGAGATTCCCCTATCTCACCCTCAAGAGGGTGAGAGATTCTATTATTGGTGAATGCACCTATGCACTACATTGAACAAGCTGCCGTGGATATGTCTTCCTAAAATTGTCTTCAAGATCTTAATTGTTAACTAGAGTTTAACTGTTGTGATTTTTTGGTTCATGTTTTATTATAAGAGCTAGACTGTTATCATTTTTCATTAATTTTACTTACAGGTTGCTGGATTATGTGTTCGGAGGATCCTTCAACAGAGTACTCCTGGTGCTAGCAATCCTTGTCCTCGTTGTATTCAACACCTTCAAAGGTTACTTACAGCATAATAATGCTATTCAATGTCATAGTCTTTATGTAGATAACAATATAGTAGATCTTTGTAAAAAAAAAAAAATATTTATAGAATATATACATAGTTTTTATGTAGATAACAATATAGTAGATCTTTGTAAAAAAAAAAAATAATAATAATAATAATAGCATATATATATACTTTTTCTCAAAGCTTCTCTGAAACACATAAAGAATGTTTAAGGTTCTGGGCCTGAACTAGTCTTTATATTATATAAAGATTATTTCAGGCCCAGAACCTTATTTTGGCTGGGGCTCCACTTTAAAAAAGAAATAATAAAATGCCACTTTGGATTCCAGGATTCCGAATCCTAGGTCGAATACTTTCAATAAAAGTTGCAGTGAGTATCTGTTTGAAGTGGATTGATGAACTCAGTTGTATGGTTTCAGGTTACAGATCAGCTGTAGTGCTCATGTAAAAAGCATATGGGAACCAGAGGGTCTGGTAGGTATATACATATATATGTTGACCCATTTCCAGTACTAAAAAAAGATATGACATATAATAATACCTATGTCTTTTGCTAAATTGTTTGCTCTGTTTGGAGTGGATGAACATATACAGTGTACCAGTACTATAAAACTTTGGTTAGATATATTTGTTTTATGAATATCACAGCTTTGAAATTCAACACAAATGTTGCCCAATGTTCTTTATATAAGTACAGATATAAAGGCAATTAAAACCCTAAGCATTCTTATTCACTGAACCATGCATTGGTAGAAGTAAATCTGTTTCTTTCTCTGTTTCCTATCTGAGTCTGACTGTATCAAACATTTCTTTAAGACAAAAATAGAAAAATAAAAATAGATATGGGCTGATGATGGATTAAAATTGAAATCGATCGTTTTGCCCTTTCCGATTCCAATTATTGATTACAAATTCCATTATGGATATAATTGGTTCTTCACTAAAATCAAAGTTTTTTCAATGCAAAAACATATATATTGAAAGTCATGATATATTCCTATGATTTTATCTACATGATTGAAAAAACTGTCTAAAAATTGCTTGAAATCCATTCATTAAAAAAAGAATGTAACCGAGTGTATAGTTAACAACTCTGTCTATTGATGTTATAGTAGTGTATAGTTAACAACTCTGTCTATTGATGTTGTGGTAGTGTATAGTTAACAACTCTGTCTATTGATGTTATAGTAGTGTATAGTTAACAACTCTGTCTATTGATGTTGTGGTAGTGTATAGTTAACAACTCTGTCTATTGATCATGATGTTATGGTAGTGTTCTCACTTTATCTTTGGTATTCAGTCTCATAAAATTATGAACCGATAATGCAGATCATCGATCGGTTTTCTACTTCTGATTACACACACACTGATTGCCCATCACTGACAATAACCTGACAAATATATATATTCTTTTTAGAATAAAAGGCCTCTGGTTCCAGAATACGATACAATCAACATGAAGATGTACTCCTACGACTGTACTGTGTTAGATTCCTTTGCCAATTATGCAAAGCAGCTGGCGACAGGTTTAGAAATGGATGTATTTTTGTAAGTTATTACATATCAGGTTGTGATAATCATTGTTAAGGATGCTGCTCCACTGAACTGTGTTTTTTCCTATACACAGTAACCTCCCCTTAACTTCCGTTTGGATATAACTGTAAAACTATTGTGTGATCAGGACACTTCGAATTCCAGAACGATATTTAGCAGTCTGAAGTTCAGGGTTTGAATTCAGGTCTAGCCCCTGTGATTTTTTACAATTAGAACACTGTTGTTCATAATATTTTGTTTATTTCATCTTTGTTACCCATTTCTCTAGTCCGAATTATTCTGACGTTTTATCAACTTTTTTCATATCGGTCTGTCGTCGATTAACGTCAGAACTCCGGCCCTCTATAATATGCGGGAAATATGCGACCCGTGCCCGGAGCGCACTTCAAACTGATATTTTAGAAACAAATCGTCAATTTCACACACATGTCGCACATGGATCGAAAGATCTATTCTTTATGTACTAGGTGGTATCAATAACATGTTTCAAAGATCATTACGAAAAGTATTTTCCAACGTTTTCTATACCAACCCATGTTTTTAATGGAAATTAGGCCATGAGCAATGTCACATGACTTGACGAGATCTCGCGTTACCGAAGGTATATCCCAACGTTATGACGTAAGCCGGCGAGATTTTAGTCACATGGCATTAGAAGGCGGGCTATCAAAAAAATAGAGTAAAACAGAGTAAGTTTGAAAAAATATGTTTTTAGTGATTGTATTGGTTGTTTGAGGCATGTAATTTATGTTCATCTTGTGCATAAAGAATAGATCTTTCGATCCATGTGCGACATGTGTGTGAAAGTGACGATTTGTTTCTAAAATATCAGTTTGAAGTGCGCTCCGGGCGCGGGTCGCATATTTCCCGCATATTATAGAGGGCCGGAGGGCTGACGTTAATCGACGACAGACCGATATGAAAAAAGTCGATAAAACGTCAGAATAATTCGTACTACCATTTCTCATGAAGTCCTGCAGAGCAAGGTTTTCTTTTCAGAAATGATTTATCAAAGCCATAGTCGTGCAAGAAAAAACTGTTGCCAGTACATTATACTTTGTAACAGTGGCACAGGGATCCTTAAATTGGTACAAATTGGTAATTTGGTAACAGACACAATTTCTGGTAGTAAACTATCTAAATTAAAAATAAGATAAGATAAAGCCTGTCTATATAATTTCAGTTGTATTTCTTGTTGTTTTTAACTTTTAAAGCCACAAATTGTCTTGAAAATATCTAACCGGTAGTGATCCATGTGAGAAAAACCTTCAAATTTGCATACATACCGTAAAATGTGCATGTTTGATAACTCCAACCACAGATTCTTTTTTGACAAAATAGAAAAGAATTGGACAATTCCTTACAGTTTTAATGACATTACAGTCCAGTCTTAAGAAATAAGTATATAAACATACAAAGATGACCTCACAAGTGTTATCACATTAAAAACAGTGCTGAATGTTGAAATATGGAAATTAATGAGCATTATGGAAGCAAACAATATTGCAGGGCTCTCAAGTTATAAAAACAAAGCCTATTTTTATTTAGATAGAAGTTTGTTTATAAATTAGATAATCTTAAACCAGTGAACCTGTTAAGTATCACATCATGTACATGTACTACAAAATGCTGGTTATGTGACAGTTCTTTGTTGTTACTCTGAGATGGTTTTTTTTGTCAGGTATCCTGTACCACGACAGACCCACGTTATAAAGACATATCTACCATATTCAACAATTGTAAAAAATCAGTACACGATGGACACATATGAAAGGGTTATACGAGTAAGTATTTGTAAATTTAAGATCATCAATCATTTGGTACAACATAAGTTACAGAATGTGTTTAAAAACTGGCACCCACAAACAGACACTCTTCTGTACCTCTGTTTAGATGTGACGTCACAGCACCCACAAACAGACACTCTTCTGTACCTCTGTTTAGATATGACGTCACAGCACCCACAAACAGACACACTCTTCTGTACCTCTGTTTAGATGTGACATCACAGCACCTACAAACAGACACTCTTCTGTACCTCTGTTTAGATGTGACGTCACAGCACACACAAACAGACACTCTTCTGTTCCTCTGTTTAGATGTGACGTCACAGCACCCACAAACAGACACACTTCTGTCCCTCTGTTTAGATGTGACGTCACAGCACCCACAAACAGACACACTTCTGTCCCTCTGTTTAGATGTGACGTCACAGCACACACAAACAGACACTCTTCTGCACCTCTGTTTAGATGTGACGTCACAGCACACACATACAGCCACTCTTCTGTACCTCTGTTTAGATGTTACGCCACAGCACCCACAAACAGACACTCTTCTGTACCTCTGTCTAGATGTGACGTCACAGCACACACAAACAGACACTCTTCTGTTCCTCTGTTTAGATGTGACGTCACAGCACCCACAAACAGACACACTTCTGTCCCTCTGTTTAGATGTGACGTCACAGCACACACAAACAGACACTCTTCTGTTCCTCTGTTTAGATGTGACGTCACAGCACCCACAAACAGACACACTTCTGTCCCTCTGTTTAGATGTGACGTCACAGCACCCACAAACAGACACACTTCTGTCCCTCTGTTTAGATGTGACGTCACAGCCCCCACAAACAGACACTCTTCTGTACCTCTGTTTAGATATGACGTCACAGCACCCACAAACAGACAAACTCTTCTGTACCTCTGTTTAGATGTGACATCACAGCACCTACAAACAGACACTCTTCTGTACCTCTGTTTAGATGTGACATCACAGCACCCACAAACAGACACTCTTCTGTACCTCTGTCTAGATGTGACGTCACAGCACACACAAACAGACACTCTTCTGTTCCTCTGTTTAGATGTGACGTCACAGCACCCACAAACAGACACACTTCTGTCCCTCTGTTTAGATGTGACGTCACAGCACCCACAAACAGACACTATTTTGTACCTCTGTTTAGATGTGACGTCACAGCACCCACAAACAGACACACTTCTGTCCCTCTGTTTAGATGTGACGTCACAGCACCCACAAACAGACACACTTCTGTCCCTCTGTTTAGATGTGACGTCACAGCACACACAAACAGACACTCTTCTGTTCCTCTGTTTAGATGTGACGTCACAGCACCCACAAACAGACACACTTCTGTCCCTCTGTTTAGATGTGACGTCACAGCACCCACAAACAGACACACTTCTGTCCCTCTGTTTAGATGTGACGTCACAGCACCCACAAACAGACACACTTCTGTCCCTCTGTTTAGATGTGACGTCACAGCCCCCACAAACAGACACTCTTCTGTACCTCTGTTTAAATGTGACGTCACAGCACCCACAAACAGACACTCGTCTGTACCTCTGTTTAGATGTGACGTCACAGCAAACACAAACAGACACTCTTCTGTACCTCTGTTTAGATATGACGTCACAGCACCCACAAACAGACAAACTCTTCTGTACCTCTGTTTAGATGTGACATCACAGCACCCACAAACAGACACTCTTCTGTACCTCTGTCTAGATGTGACGTCACAGCACACACAAACAGACACTCTTCTGTTCCTCTGTTTAGATGTGACGTCACAGCACCCACAAACAGACACACTTCTGTCCCTCTGTTTAGATGTGACGTCACAGCACCCACAAACAGACACCCTTCTGTACCTCTGTTTAGATGTGACGTCACAGCCCCCACAAACAGACACTCTTCTGTACCTCTGTTTAGATGTGATGTTACAGCACACACATACAGCACACACATAGAGACAGAGAAATCCTGTATGACTCTATATACATAGGATGAAAATTAAATGTCCCAACCTGGTCTAAGTAGATGTACCAAAGGGTGGGGCGTTTCTGTCCTACATAAGAGAGTTATTTTCATGCATTGCTTACCAATTTATTTAAAATCAAGATATGTAGCCCCATCTTGTTGTGAACTGATTTTATTTTGAACTGTTTTAAAAAAATCTTTACCAATGGAAAAAGTGTCTTAACACTAAAAAAATTTGGTTTACCTTCAAAAGTATAAATCTAATACATACAATGTAATTTAAAAAATGATAACTACTTCTCAATGATGAGATTACAGTATTTAAGGAGAATCCGTAGTTACTGTAACGTTTTTAGGCATCCCACTTCTGACACAAATTTGTTAGGTTTTTAGGCATCCCACTTCTGACACGAATTTGTTAGGTTTTTAGGCATCCCACTTCTGACACGAATTTGTTAGGTTTTTAGGCATCCCACTTCTGACACAAATTTGTTACGTTTTTAGGCATCCCACTTCTGACACAAATTTGTTACGTTTTTAGGCATCCCACTTCTGACACAAATTTGTTACGTTTTTAGGCATCCCACTTCTGACACAAATTTGTTACGTTTTTAGGCATCCCACTTCTGATACGAATTTGTTACGTTTCCATTTCGGACACCATCTCACTATTAATGTAGTTGTTAATTTCTCTATGTTAAATGAAAGTCCAGTCGTTCTGACAAATGCTAGAGATAAAATCACAACATACAAGTTTTCATAAGGTTAACTAAAGTTTTATTAACAGGAATTTAATCAATGTATTTGCCAAAAGTTCAAGTGAATAAAGTTACCTAAAATGTACTCCAGGAGGAAAACTTGTAATCCAAATAAATTTGACACACTTAGAAATAGTCCAATTTAAGATCAAATGAAGAAGACTGATATTCCTTCTAATATATATAGTTAAGATCAAATTACTATACGTCCGGAAATTTCACTCAAAAGTAATATAACTAAATAACAACTGAGGTTTACACTTATTCAACTAACTAATACTCTATACATTACAAATGACTCCATTACACTCCTCGCAAGTCTACTGAATACTCTCGGAGTCATTATTTACTCTCTCCATAGGATTCTCTCAAGACTCCCCTTTCTCTTCTCAATCTACTCAAAAACTCCATTCTCAACAAAAACTCCTCATCTCTCGACAACCTCTTAATTCCTCCGACCAACTTTTGATCTCCCCACTCTTGATCGCCCCGACAAACTCCCTAACAATCCTTTATATAGGTACAACGTTAAGATACTGACATATTATACTAAATATACTCAGATCCATACTAAACTTAGCCGATGACATCATATACTATATATAACTAGAGACAAGATAAATTAAAGATAGAGCTACATCTAAATACAAACTATGGAAACCACCTAGTACTAAATACAGGGATCGTGTCTAATAATGGATCAAGATGTACAGGTAGAAAAATCTATTAATTCCAACAACTGACCAACTCATTAAATATGCAAGCCCTTCCCATTTACTCCAGTAATGACCTCATACCTATTAATACACCAGTCTCTCAGAATGACCACACACCTATTTATAACTATAACCCTACTGCTGTCTGAAGATACCACACCAGGGTGGCTCATTACCTTTGACCTTATCAATATCTACTCAGCTACTGGACCCTTATCTCTGAGCTATAAACAGACAGTAAATCACCAAACAGACCCTCTAAACTGACTAACCTTTAAATTGAGAAAACAAATAACATCCATCCTAATTAATGAAACATAAACACAAATAATAATCACTTGTTAAAAATTCCACATTACCAATTTTTGTCATAAAGTGAGATGTAATCTTCTGTCTGCGAGATCTTGGTCAGTTCAGATTCACTTTTACCCTTTTCTTTGTAGATGCACAGTCTTCAATCTACCAAATTGCCAATATTTATAGAGATAATGCGACGGAATATTCCATCAGGCATAGATATTCAATTTAAACAGGTAAGTTGCAATAAGTCAAAGAAAACATGAAGTTGCAATAAATCAATGAAAACATTAAACTGAAAAATAAAATCAGGTAAGCAAAAATAGATATATGGAAAAGGATATATAATATACAACATACTCACCCAAACTTGTGTCCTTAAGCCACTTTCATTATCACAGGGGTCAGATATTTTGAAAACTTTTAAAAAGACCACATCATTTTATTGGAAAGGTTGGCTAGATACCAAATATTTTCACGAATATTTAAGTTTAGTACAGTACTGGGCAAAGAAATATGACATTGAGAATAGTGTATATATAGAGAGAACAGTAGCTTGTTGTTCCTGCTGATTAATTAGGTTTTGGGCTGGTCAAATCACCCTTCGTCCATGGTCCCTTCGTCTACCCGCCCTTAATTAGCAATTCTTGTGATTACTTTTTCTCACCATGTACTGAATGGATCTTCTCAAATTCCATGTGTATGTTCCCATTGGTCACTAGTTGTGCATGTTCAGTTTTAAGATTGATCAGAAAAACAAAATGGCTGCCAGACAGACATCTTGGAATTTGCCAGTGATATTTCTCAAGAAGTACTTTACAGGTCTTTCTCAAATTTCGCGTCCAAGTTCCCCTTGGTGCATGTTTCATTTTTAGACTGATTGTAAAAATCAGATGGCCATTTTGGCAATTGAGAGTTCAAGATTGTAATCACCATTTCTCAATAAGTTCAGACAGATCTTTCTCAAATTTCATAGGTAGGCTCTCCTTGGTTCAGTTGAGCATGTTTCATTTTGGGACTGATAGGAAAAACAAGATGGTCGCTAGACAGTCAACTTGGTTTTGAGATTTCAGGTTTGTTATCACTATTTCTCAAAGAGGCCTTGACATCTTTCTCAAAATATATATGATAGTTCTCCTTGGTCTGAAGTTGTGCATGTGTCATTTTGGGACTGATCAGAAAAAACAGGATGGCCACTAGACATTTAACTTGGATATTGAGATTTCAGGTTTGTTATCACTATTTCTCTAGAAGTTAATAATGAACAATGACTTCACTTTGAAAGGCTACTTTAGATCTCAAACCCATCATTGTATAAGTTTTGATCAAAGGTTACCACAAGATACATTTATTGTTGACTATCAATCAAACAGATGAGAGAAATTAAAAGAGAAATGACAGGGAAATATCATTCTCTTACCCTGGACAGGTGTATCCGCACTTTTACCGGTGTGAGATTTCCTTGTCTCAACCTAGGGTTGAGCGGGGGGGATTCCCATTTTCATAACAATGATATGACGTCACTTCAACAATACAATGACGTCACCTCAACACTCCATCAATGTCACGTCAACCCTGAATTCAGCCTGTGACATTAACATTACATTTTGTTTATGATAAAAAATGGGTGAACAGGGTAAGAGAAAAAGAATCATTCACCCCCTTGTGGATGAGATAGGGGAATCCCCTATCTCACCCCCAAGGGGGGTGAAAGATTCTATTAAACTGACATGGAACTAATAAAGATCTTATGATGGTTGGACACAAGATCAATATGAAAACTCTTGTGTAAAATTGTTTCATAACATTTGTTGAGAAAACAAGTACTCCCCTTGGTATTTGGTACACTGCTTTCAGACCTGTCCATCTTTGTCGTAGCATAAGTGGTTAATAATCTTATATCAAATACATAATCTATTAAAAAAGAAGAAAAAAACCTTTTAATACATGTCTCTGAAGCTGAAATGTGTTATGTACACCAGCTAACTAAAAAAAAAATACATAGAAAACTTACACTTTCAAACAGAGATGCTCTATATTAACGGGTCATATTTGAACACCTTTATCTTAATAGCATACAGAAGAAGATGACGTAATACGATATATGGGTGATCAAGAGAGAAAAGACATATTATCCAAATTGGACGACGTACAAGTGAAGAGGGGGTGATCTGCCTCAACAATGCTCTTTCATTGGATGATCTGTATACCTTGGCATTGTACAATGGTACCCTGTACATCATGTTAAAAAGGACACGTATTAATAGAGATTTCCATCAAATTCTAATACATACAAACATTATGTGCCAGAACTGACGATCAAACGGTGAAAATGATTTTATATTGCAGTTTTCAAATATACCTGGCTTTTTGTGAAGGGCCGTCTGTGAATCAATTCACATATCATTGTGTAGGGAAAACTTCAAAAGTTACAATTACTAACGAATGAAATGAAATTGTCCGATGAAGAACTTGTACATTATGTAAATTAGGGCAAAATGTTTTTTTTTACAATATTTAAATAAACTTCTTACACCTGGGTTGACCTTAAAACTTACATCAAGTAGTTCATCGTTAAATATAATGTGTACATGATGTACTACTTTCCGAGAAAAAATTACACTGATAAATTAATTAAAGAAATCAGTATTTTGGCAGGAAAATAAATACATCTTGTCATCTTAGCTTTGACCTGTACTATGCAGGAGGTGTCCGACATGTACCAAGCAGGGCCCTGATGGGCCACCGTTGCACAGCAGGAGGTGTTTATATGACATATACCAAATGGGCTCTTCTTGAAGAGCCAGGGTAGCAATTGATTTAATTATCATATGAAGTATGCACGAAAGAATGTTTGACTGTGGTATTGTATGATTACATAAATTTACATACCTAGGGTGTATAATTCTTTTATTAAAACTTTGATATAAAGCGAGATCCGCGTTTGCAGTCCTTATTTCAATCGAGAAGGCCAGACAAAAAGTTATATGTGTTTCCAGTAACATGTTGGGAAAATTTAAGGTAGGTAACAAGTTTTATTTTCAAAGATAATTTTATGTGTTTTATATAGGAAGCCAGGTGATCTTGACATGAACAGTGCTTCTTTGAATATTGCTTTAAAAGTTTTGGGTACGCACAAAAAATTAGGGTAGGTAGGTTTACCGGTAACATCAAATATTTTTGTTTGGCCTAAACCTGAGATCTAGTTCCCCAGGTAAACAAGAGGCCCAAGGGCCTTAGCGGTCACCTGTGTTATATCATAGGTACTAGTAGATTTATTTTATTGTTTAGGTGTGATGAGGAAATCAGCATGTAAACTAAGTGAAATACAATACTTGTCATGTCATCAAAGGATAAGAATTTTAAAATATTTGTAAATGTTCCCTTTGGGGCCCCGCCCTAGCTCCTTGGGATGGGGCAGGAATTCCAATTTTACAATGTAATACCCTCATCCACCTAAGATGATTCTGACCAAGTTTGAATATTTTTTTGCTGAAAATGGATAAAATATACCCAAAAGTGATATTTCCCTATATAAACTAAAGTAAACTTTACCCCCTCCCCATGAGGGAACGGATGGCTCAGGGGTCCTGAAATTGACAATTTCAATAAAGCTCCTGCTGATCTTTCTATACATGCACTGAAATTAACTGTAGTACCTATGAGTCTGAAGAAGCAGATTTTTGAAATATTGGTAAATTTTCCCTTTTGGGCCCACCCTGGCCCCTAGGGTTGGGATAGGAATCCCAATTTTACATTTTAAAACCATCTTCCTCTAAGGAAAGCTTAGGTGACCTGAAAAATGTAATTGCAATATGACCATTCTAACATCACATACTGCTCTAGCAACACACAATATAATGATTCGGTAGCCTAACATAAACCTTTTAATAATGCAGCACTAGATCTAATAGGCCTATAGCTGTGCCATTACTTTCAGATTTAAATAGGAAGCTTGGCCTGTATCACTCAGCTAGATATTAAAGCAACCATGACAGTCTTCTTTTTAAAGTAATAATGCAAATATTTTTCCATTTTTTGCTCAGCCTCTTGAGCAGACCAAAAGAGGGGACAGCAGCTTTCCTTTACTTAAGATTTCACTTCCTTGCCCCAAGGATGCTTCATACAAATTTTGTTGAAATAAAGTCAACCTATCCATATGAGTTGTTTTTCAGTATTTTTAGCCCACCATCATCTGATGGTGGGCTTTTCAAATCACCCTGCATCCGTGGTCCGTCGTCCGCCGTCCATCCGGAAACAATTCTTGTTATTGGTATTTCTCAAGAAGTACTAAAGGGATCTTTCTCAAATTTTATATGAAGTTCCCCTTGGTCCTTAGCTGTGCAGGGCAACTTTTGAGACTGATCGGATAAACAACATGGCCGACAGGCAGCCATCTTGGATTTTGATAGTGAAAGTTTGTTATCGCTATTTCTC